TCTTCCTGCTAACTTTCTCTTCCTGCTACGTCTCTCTTCCTGCTACGTCTCTCTTTCTGCTACGTCTTTCTTCCTGCTACGTCTCTCTTCCTGCTACGTCTCTCTTCCTGCTAACTTTCTCTTCCTGCTACGTCTTTCTTCCTGCTCCGTCTCTCTTCCTGCTACGTCTTTCTTCCTGCTCCGTCTCTCTTCCTGCTACGTCTCTCTTCCTGCTAAGTTTCTCTTCCTGCTAAGTCTCTCTTCCTGCTATGTCTTTCTTCCTGCTACGTCTCTCTTCCTGCTACGTCTCTTCCTGCTACGTCTCTCTTCCTGCTAAGTTTCTCTTCCTGCTACGTCTCTCTTCCTGCTACGTCTCTCTTCCTGCTAAGTTTCTCTTCCTGCTACGTCTTTCTTCCTGCTACGTCTCTCTTCCTGCTAAGTTTCTCTTCCTGCTACGTCTCTCTTCCTGCTACGTCTTTCTTCCCGCTACGTCCCTCTTCCTGCTACGTCTCTCTTCCTGCTAATTTTCTCTTCCTGCTACGTCTTTCTTCCTGCTCCGTCTCTCTTCCTGCTACATCTTTCTTCCTGCTACGTCTCTCTTCCTGCTAAGTTTCTCTTCCTGCTACTTCTCTCTTTCTGCTACGTTTTTCTTCCTGCTACGTCTCTCTTCCTGCTAAGTTTCTCTTCCTGCTACGTCTCTCTTCCTGCTATGTCTTTCTTCCTGCTACGTCTCTCTTCCTGCTACGTCTCTCTTCCTGCTACGTCTCTCTTCCTGCTAATTCTCTCTTCCTGCTACGTCTTTCTTCCCGCTACATCTCTCTTCCTGCTACGTCTCTCTTCCTGCTAATTTTCTCTTCCTGCTCCGTCTCTCTTCCTGCTACGTCTTTCTTCCTGCTCCGTCTTTCTTCCTGCTAAATTTCTCTTCCTGCTACGTCTCTCTTCCTGTTAAGTTTCTCTTTCTGCTACATCACTCTTCCTGCTACGTCTCTCTTCCTGCTAAGTTTCTCTTCCTGCTACGTCTCTCTTCCTGCTAAGTTTCTCTTCCTGCTACGTCTCTCTTCCTGCTAAGTTTCTCTTCCTGCTACGTCTCTCTTCCTGCTACGTCTCTCTTCCTGCTATGTCTTTCTTCCTGCTACGTCTCTCTTCCTGCTACGTCTCTCTTCCTGCTACGTCTCTCTTCCTGCTACGTCTCTCTTCCTGCTAAGTCTCTCTTCCTGCTACGTCTTTCTTCCCGCTACGTCTCTCTTCCTGCTACGTCTCTCTTCCTGCTAATTTTCTCTTCCTGCTCCGTCTCTCTTCCTGCTACGTCTTTCTTCCTGCTACGTCTCTCTTCCTGCTAAGTTTCTCTTTCTGCTACATCACTCTTCCTGCTACGTCTCTCTTCCTGCTACGTCTCTCTTCCTGCTAAGTTTCTCTTCCTGCTATGTCTCTCTTCCTGCTAAGTTTCTCTTCCTGCTACGTCTCTCTTCCTGCTACGTCTCTCTTCCTGCTATGTCTTTCTTCCCGCTACGTCTCTCTTCCTGCTACGTCTCTCTTCCTGCTAATTTTCTCTTCCTGCTCCGTCTCTCTTCCTGCTACGTCTTTCTTCCTGCTACGTCTCTCTTCCTGCTAAGTTTCTCTTTCTGCTACATCACTCTTCCTGCTACGTCTCTCTTCCTGCTACATCACTCTTCCTGCTACGTCTCTCTTCCTGCTACGTCTCTCTTCCTGCTACGTCTCTCTTCCTGCTACGTCTCTCTTCCTGCTAAGTTTCTCTTCCTGCTACGTCTCTCTTCCTGCTAAGTTTCTCTTCCTGCTACGTCTCTCTTCCTGCTATGTCTTTCTTCCTGCTACGTCTCTCTTCCTGCTACGTCTCTCTTCCTGCTAAGTCTCTCTTCCTGCTCCGTCTCTCTTCCCGCTACATCTCTCTTCCTGCTACGTCTCTCTTCCTGCTAATTTTCTCTTCCTGCTACGTCTTTCTTCCCGCTACGTCTCTCTTCCTGCTACGTCTCTCTTCCTGCTACGTCTCTCTTCCTGCTAAGTCTCTCTTCCTGCTCCGTCTCTCTTCCCGCTACGTCTCTCTTCCTGCTACGTCTCTCTTCCTGCTAATTTTCTCTTCCTGCTACGTCTTTCTTCCCGCTACGTCTCTCTTCCTGCTACGTCTCTCTTCCTGCTAATTTTCTCTTCCTGCTCCGTCTCTCTTCCTGCTACGTCTTTCTTCCTGCTCTGTCTCTCTTCCTGCTAAATTTCTCTTCCTGCTCTGTCTCTCTTCCTGCTAAGTTTCTCTTCCTGCTACATCTCTCTTCCTGCTAAGTTTCTCTTCCTGCTACGTCTCTCTTCCTGCTAAGTTTCTCTTCCTGCTACGTCTCTCTTCCTGCTACGTCTCTCTTCCTGTTACGTATCTCTTCCTGTTACGTATCTCTTCCTGTTGTTCCTTAATGCTGAAATCAGAAACAACAAAAGGAAAAAGACCTTTTCAGTGTTACTAGAAGGACTCACCATTAATGATGAAGTACCAACATACCGAATACAAAATTCAGACACGTCAAACAAACCTGTTGCTGTTGCTAATTAGCCGTGATAAAGTCATAATGAGCTTAATCGTCGTCCTTGACTCAGCGCAGCGACCCTGGGGAGGCTAACTAAACAACATAAGGAGGACTTTAAACACACCAGAGGGTTGGGTCTGGCGGAGGACGTCAGCTGTTGTTCTCTTCTCCGCGGTGCACGGTGTTTTCCTAATGCTGCATTACCTTATCAAAGGGAAGACACAGGAAGTTACCCCGGACAAATCCCAGCCGTGAGATCCTTTGTACTCCACTGATCTGAGCTAAATCAAAGAGCAGCTCGCTGTTTCTGCCACGGCGGCGTCCACAACGGGAGCGACAGCAGCAAAAGGAGCTGCTCAGCATGTTTAAGCGCCTTGAAGAGATGCATCAAAACCCCTCTCCTGGCTCCTGCTAAAATAAGGGGTCACTTTTAGTCAGCTTGACCTCGAGTACTGACAGTTTATTGGGCCGACAGGCTCATGAATGGTACCAAACTGAACTAATATGCATAAATCAGAAAGTGCTCATTTTCCTATCTATTTTTTTACTTTCTGACCTTCCACATCTGCCTAGCCCAGATTTACCAAACCTCCCATATGCAGGCTTTCCCACATTAGCTTTGACACGGCCTTAGATGTCCAAGATGTCCTTCCCGTGCTAAATAACACCTGAACCAGACAACAATAGGGGTGAAACATCATTCAGATCTCTATTTTCACGTGAAGGTCAGGGACAGTTAAGCTGTGAGACTTCTGCGCCGTGTCAGCGTTTCTACTCGTGAGCGACAGCGAGGTTAAACGTGGAGGAGACGCTTCTGTTGAGTGGAAATCTTTGGAGCCGCAGCGCTTTGTGGTTGTGCTTTCTGTTGGATAAGCACTTCTGCTTTCAGATAACGCTTTAAGCCCTTAAGGGTAAAATCTGAGTTAGTGATTTAATACATCCGTTTAAATAAACAGAGATGAGTTTGTGTATAAAACAGACACAGAGCATTTTAGATTTATTACTGGAACCAGTAAAAACCAGTAAGGAAATAAAGAGCTGCTTTACTTTACTGTGTTGGCTGTCAGAGAAATCCCGTCATTTTACACGACTTTAGATCACAAAGATCTTAGGGTGCAGAGCTGAGCAGCTAAAACGCTTTCAGATTACCTCCAACCCTTAAAACTGCATCAGTTGCCTGATTTTTAAAATAAAAATCTTATACCGACTCGTCAGACTCAGACGGATTTAGGTCTGTACTGCAAGTCTGACAGACCTGGAGGTAAACCTGAACGTGTGCTGAGGAGCTTCAGACGTGTTTCTAAAACGTCTCAGTCGACGAAACTGCATTCATCTCTAAGTTTGGATTCACCAGAGGGCCTGAACTGTTTAGAGATGTGACTTTCAGAGAGACAAGAGACTCGTAGGAGAGACAGCGTTTGATATGCTGAGCAGATGAAAAGGGTCAGAGACACGTGGAAGTGACAACGTTCAACCGTGAGAGGTAGCCGACCGTTTAAACCGCTACACTGATGGTCTAACAGGAAGTGTTACTTAAGCGTGTGTGTGCGCGTGTGTGTGTGTGTGTGTGTATGCATGTGTGTGTATGCATGTGTGTGTATGCGTGTGTGTGTATGTGTGTGTGTGTGTGTATGCGTGTGTGTGTGTGTGTGTGTGTGTGGTGTGTGTGTGTGTGTGTGTGTATGCGTGTGTGTGTATGCATGTGTGTGTATGCGTGTGTGTGTATGCGTGTGTGTGTATGTGTGTGTGTGTGTGTATGCGTGTGTGTGTGTGTGTGTGTGTGTGGTGTGTGTGTGTGTGTGTGTGTGTGTGTGTGCGGTGTGTGTGTGTGTGTGTGTGTGCGCGCGTGCATGTGTGTGTGCGCGTGCATGTGTGTGTGCGTGTGTGTGTGTGTGTGTGTGTGTGTGGTGTGGGGGGGGGGGGGGGGGTGAGTGAACTGTGCTGAGCCAACCAAAAATGGAAAAAGTCAAAGTTACAAAATTTTCATGCAAACTGGCACACACACACACACACACACACACACACAGACGCACGCACGCACACACACACACACACACACACACACACACACCAAGTGTGGTGGTACAGGAGGAACCCACGGGCAGAACACATTCTGGGTAGACTTTAGTTCTCATCTCCAGAACTCAACTTGATTCTTCTAATTCCCACAAGAGAGGAAAGGCAGTGCAGAGGGGACAATGGCTTCATGCTTGGATTCACATTTTTCCATCTTTTATTTTCTCATCTGTTCTCTAGAAGAGAAAACGTTCTTTCATAACGCTAGAGAGGACACGATCACCCCGAGCTGGCTCCTTTTTTAGTCTCCTCTAGTTTTAACTCCAACTGGAGGAAGTTTCATTTAAGACCACTGCTTCCCTCTTTATTTAACACAACTCCAGAAGGACATCACTGAGACTCAAGCAGATGCTGCAGAAAACTAAATGATGAGTTTTAGACATTTTGGTGGAAAACCCCATGGAGATGTTCTCCTACCGGTGAGTCGCTGCTTGCTGTCGGACATAGCGGACCCCTGAAGACACCCTTGACGCGCCGAAAGTGTCCGTTGCTCAGGTGAGTGGAGCTGATCACCAGGTAGTAACACGCGCTGCACGCCATCCCGGGAGGCTCGCGAAGTCTGGGGCCCATGAAGCGGGTCCTGCGCGGATGCTGAGCAGGTGAGAGCACAGCCAGAGGTCGTCTCACCCCCGTCCCCTGATGGAGACTCTGTACCTGGGTGAGAGAGATGGAGTTAAAACGTGTGGATGCTCAGTGGGAGAGCTGATGGAGATGTGCTCCTCACCGAGCTCCGCTCTGCTCCTCCGTTGGCATGCTGTCGTCGGTCAGGCTGAGCGCCGGTGGAGTGCCAGGGGAGGAAGAGACGGATGCATCCAGCTTTCCCACACACACACTCACATGTAATCACACACTCTGTCCACCCCCCCTCACTCCCCACTCCGTGTCCAGGACTGTAAAAGTCTCCTCTCAGCTAAACAGCAGGCAGCGCGTAAATCTGATGGAGGAAAAACGGGAAGCGGACGAGGCTCCCGCAGGTGCGCCTCCTCTCCGCGCACGTTTGAGAACGAATGGGATATCTGGCCCTTCTCTCCCCCCTCTCCCCCCCAGTCCTCGCTCCGTATCGATTCGAGGCGGTTTTACAATCAGCTGTCTTGTGAATGAAATTCCACGGTGCGGTAGGAGGGTCGGTAAATCCATCCAGAGCAGCCCGCTGGTTAGTACCGGGGTCGGGCGCAGCCGGCTGAAGCGGCTCGTTCTCTCTTCAAAACACACTTTCTCTCTCCCTCCCCCCCACCCCCCCCCCCCCTCTCTCTCTCTCTCTCTCTCTCTCTCTCTGTGTGTGTGTGTGTGTTTCTGAGCGGGGGGGGGGGGGGGGGGGGGGGGGGGGGGTGCAGACCCAAAGCGTCTTTTTATTTTTGGGGCGCGAACCGGATTTGGGTCTGTTGGTTCGGGGTTCTGGAACGAGGAAGAGCGGATCACTCCACCTTTCTCTTCACACTCTCATCTTACCATTTCTTAAAAAAACAACTTTATTCCATGTCTCCTCTCTCTCTGTCTTCTGGTTCCTGCTCCTCGCTCCTCAGGGCATCAAAGTAAAGGAAAGAAGCACCCCACGCTTTTCGCTGCAGATCTTTCTGTGCGGGTGAAAAGAGGAGAGCCCACGTTGTTGCGACCTCGGGGATGATGATGTGATCTCAGATGAAAAGAGGTCTTTCTTCTGTCGAACTGCGTCGGGTTCTCCGTCAGAGAGCAGGCTCGGAACCAGCCGCTCGGCCCGTCTCAGAGACGCATGGCGCTGTTCTCCGACGCGGTGCTGAAACTGTTCAACTGCCACAGCTCTGTGCGCGCGGAGCGGTGCGTCATGCATATTCAGTCCGGGATCAGGAGGTCTTTTTGGACTCAGCGTCACAGCTCTGGACTGAAGTAGTAAACACACGAAGGAAGGACACGAGGGACCAGTGTGTGAGTGATTAAAGAGGAAAGTCCACTTTTCACTTAGAGGATGCAGCATGCTCCCACAGCCAGACAGAAGGTTGTCACTTATTGGATTCAGAAGGTTTTTGAGCTTTAGATGCAGCCCCACTCGCAGGGAGGAGGAATAGATCCCAGCAGAATGCCAGATTCTCACAGAATCCTCATCATTTCACTTTCAGGTGATTTAAAGCAGCCTTCGGTTCAGGCGCTGGTGTCCTAAAAACCCGCTGCAGACAGAAAACAGCCTGATTATGAATTTAGTCAGATCATCAGTAAACCACTGCAGAAATGTTGGACCGGTGACTTTTTTATGTGACTGTTTCACACAAAAACGTCTAAAATGTTGTTTTTCTCATTGATTTTTCCACCAACACAGTTGTGCTGTTTCACAAAACAACAAATAAACAAGAAAGCAAACTCAAAAATGGAAAAACTGATGATAAGTGATAAGACCCACACTGATGGCGCCTATCAGAGTTAGAGGACTCCAAAGCGCTTTACGGTATGCCATTCATCCATTCACACACAGGTGGTGATGAGCTAGCCACAATGGCTTGGGGTGCACTGAGAGGTGAGGCTGCTGAGCACCCTCTGACCACCAGCAGCAGGCCTAGAGCTGGGATTGAACCTGCAACCTTCTGATTACAACCTGCTCTACCTGTTGAGCTACTGCTGCCCCCAACTTAATCCTGCAAGAAGCTGCCATCACTCTCCTCTCTTCTTCACTTTAGTCTCTGTTGTTGTTTATTTAGCTATTTGAGTCCGTTCACTCAAAGTTCAGATCCCTCGTTTGTGCCTTTACGTATTTAACCAGATATCAACTTTTTCTGTAAAATGCAGAAAATACCATATTTGTGAGAAAAAAAATCAAACGCCAGAATCTTTTTCACGATTTTCAACAATGTTTTACTAAGACTGAATTCCTAACCTTCCCCTCTCCGTCCTGTCCTCCAGGCCCAGATCCTCCTCCACCCCACGGCGTGGACCTCTGTAGGCGCTGCAATCATCACTCGAACAAGCCCCAGAGCTGCCTGCCATGTTGGTTTTGATCTGTTATGACTGAGAGCGCGTGGCAGTCGGGTTGTTTTTATCTACACGTTCACGAGAGGTTTGTTCTTCTGGGATCTTCAGCTTCTTGTAATAAGTCTTGCCTCTGTCCCTTCATGCAAGCCTATTAAAGACTCATAGCCCGCTCCTGACACCACATTAATGTCTTCACCAGTCTCGTTAAAGGAGTGCAGACAGGTGGAGGTGTCCCTGAGCGATCATCTGCACAGACTGCTGCTTGTTCGTTTCCCTAAACAGTTTCTGCTTCAGCAATCAGCTCTCTTTACAGTAGAACCAATCATTTATTCCGTCGTGTCACATTTGGAGGGATGTTAGAACCCAAAGTGCAGAAACCCAGGATGACACGAGGCAGGAGCCAAAGTCTAAAAATGTCCAAAAATCCAAAATAAACTAGAGATCGAACTGAGACACGAGAAACACTAGAGACGAGGAACGAGAGACTGACAGAATTACCACAAACAACAACAATGTGACCGACAAGACACAGAGACAAGACAGGGCTTAAATACACTGGGGCATAATGGGAGGCAGATGAGCTGCAGGTGTGTGGAGTGTGGGGGGGGGGGGGGGGGGTGAAAGCAATGACTATTCAGGGAAGAAACCTCACATGACCTAAGAGTGAACCTAAAAACAGAATAGCAACCATATAACTAAACCTCTAAAGGGAAGGAGAACTACAAAACCGGTGGGACAAAACATATTAAAGAGACTAATAAAATGAAAAGCGTCTGAAACTAGAAACACTGCAGAGGGTGACTGGAGAAGACTAAAGGAACACAGGAGACACATAAATGAGATGCAGACAAAGACACATGAGGGCGCTATGAAACACAAAAGGAGAACCTGGAGTGGGAACTGGAGGGCTGGGGAACCAAAGGGACACAGAACATGACAGTCGGAGGATCACGCTGACAGAAAATGGCTCATTTATTGTCAAAAAAGCTGAACGTTGCTGCAATGAATGTAACCGGAAGACTCGGAAAGTTAGCCAAAATCACAGCGGTTAAACGTTTGAAGAAAATAAGGAAGAGTAGAAACTTCTGCTGTTTAGAAAAACTGGAGACAGGAGCAGCATGTGCAGGGATGGCAGGGGGTGTGTGTTGTGTGGGTGGGGTGGGGGTATACTGCCTTGGTGCCAGCTATGGGAACGCCTCTTCTGACTGGATTTCAGCTCCTCTCCTCAGAACCACACAGGTGATTGGTACAGCCCAACAGAAGTAGACGAGGTCCAGGCACAGCAGAACAACATGGGAATCGTTACAGTTGAGCATCTTTTTAAGTTTTCAGCAATAATCAACTTGCTAACAGCTCATCATCGCTCCAAGATGTAGATGTTTTACTCAGTTTTCACTCAGCGGTAAGGATGAACAGAGGTGGAGCCTCTCTGTTTGCTCTCAGACGTTTTCGATGCTTTTACTAAATACAAACAACAAAAACAGCTAAAGGTACAATTATAATAATTAAACAAGATGAAATCAAGAGACTGAATTATTGAGTTCCTTTAGTTTCGTTTGTTCTCGTCCGCTTCAGCTTATGTTGGAACGGACAGAAAAATGCAACTCAAACACACTCGTGAGTTTAAGCAGAAGACCCGTCCTGCAGGTCTTTCAGCTCTTCAGACGTGAACTTCTCTAAGCGGTTGTTGCTCGATGAGCGGTTCGGAACTGTTTGGCCCATCCTGAGGTGAACCACATGCCTGTTTGTCGGTGCCCTGCTGCTTTCTGCTCTGGACTCCATAACATCATGCAGCTGCCAGAGTAAAGTAATGCAGCAGCTGCAGGCCCGAGCCCGCAGATAACATCCAAACAGCTTGTGATCGACAGGGAGACTTATTGTACGCTGGGGCATCGAGCGCACACGCGTGTGAACTCCTGCAGAGACTGCTACACTCCGTCCGTCTGGTGCAAACACACGTTGTGCTGAAGAGTTGGAAACCCTTTCTCTCACCAGAAAGAAGAACCAGTTTCACACAGGAGATGACCTCCATGCTATCTCCTGATGAGTGCTTTATTTAACGCGTGATACGCTGAAGCATAGCCAGATAACGTATTTAGAGTGTCCTGGAGGGCAGGCGGAGTGCAGCGAGTGTTTCCTGGTAGTGCAGAAGACAGCGGCACGACGCAGGAGACTCCTGATGGTGACAAGAAAAAACGGCTCCTTTGGTAATGAGTCTGTAAAAACCGTCGGGGATCACGGCGTTCTGCTGCTGCTGCGTACCTGCTGGTTCTCCCGGGTGTTTGTGGTGGAGAGGGATGGGGGGGGGGGGGGTGGGGGGTATTTGCACTGATCATCCACTTGAGGAAAACCGTTGTGTGTATTTTAAACACTCCAATTCCCTGAGTACCCCCCCCCAGCCCCCAGCCCTGATGCACTCACACTGTTGGAAATGACGTGTGTGTGTGTGTGTGTGTGTGTGTGTTGTGTGTGTGTGTGTTGTGAGTGTGTGTGTGTGTGTGTGGGTGTGTGGTGTGTGTGTGTGTGTGTGTGTAGGGTGGGGGACAAAGGAGGACAGATAGAGAGAAGAGAGAACTCTCGGCGGTGTCACTGTTTCCCCGTTGTTGCCTCTGGGTCTTTTTTCTTCCTCATAAAGCTCTGAAATATTACAGCTGGGGTTTGGCACATATTGCTGTCCTCATGCAACAGTCAATGAGACTGGCTGTGCATGAATGATGATCCAGAAAGAGAGTGTGTGTGTGTGTGTGTGTACGAGGATGACTGTGAGCCCATCTCTTAGCAGTTTGAGGTGCATTAAAGGTCTTTTTCAAGGCAACATTTGTTTTATCGACCGAACCTTCGTGACTCCAGAGCTCCACCGTCTCTGGAGGCTTGATTTCTTGTGTACATGTCACAAGGTGAACGCTTTCATGCTCCTTTATGTAGTTTGAATGTTTTGCTCTTACTTTGTGCAGGTTGTTCGAAACACCTGGCGGGTTTCCACAGCCAATTGAGGAGGCAGCTACCTGAGACAAGACCCAAAGAAACAGTGGGAAGGTGGGATTTGTTGAGCGGTTTTGGGATTCTTTTTAAAGAAAATAAAATCCCTCGATAAAAGTTAGTGTTTGTGGAGCTGGTTAGCTGGTTAGCTGTTTACCTGGCTGAGTGCACCTGGCAGCTTACCAACAGCCTGTGGAAGGTGACTGGATAGAGCGTTTCTCTCCAGGTCCAGCTGGACTGTGAACAAAGGCTGAGAAGCAGGAGGTGGTCTGGATCAAACACTCTACCTGCTGAGTGAGTACCTGACTGCAGCACTCAGACTGAGGAACTCAGTGAGGAGCAGGTAGAGCTGCACCTCCACCAGACCTGCAGCCAAATCCGCTGAAGTCAAGGGCAGGGGGGCTGCCAGAGATTTGGGCCCCATGAAAAAATATCAAGTTGGGCCCCCTGGGGGGCTCATCCATAGCTGGAGCTGGGGTTCCACCCTCCCAGATTCGAAGGGAGAAAAAAATATAATATATATACTTTATATTAGTGTTTCAGTTTTGCTTAATTATGTAGGTCTACATGCATTCTTACTTACTTACATCTCATTTTCACCAGCTGTCTCTCATTAAACAGTGAATTTCCTTCAGCAGAATTAGCAATACCACTGCTGGAAAAGCAGGAAATGCACATGCTGAAAGGTGTCATCTCCTTTTCCCTATTACTCCCTTAAAATGTGTTTATTTATTCTAAAAATTTTATTTGATGATAAAATTCAAATTTGGATATCTAATTAAATTTCCATGTTGTGTCAAAGCTTTACATAACTACATTTTCAGCTGTCTTTCCTCTTGAAATCAGTATTTCTGTATGACTGACAAAACTTAAGGATTCATTGCTCACAAGGTGACTTCTTTGTTTTTGAACCCAGTCTTTAAAATTAATGCACAACAGGGAAAATGCAGCACGGACTCCTTCAGGAAATTAGCTGTAGTTCTCCATCATCAATACTAGATTTCATATTTTATTGTGTTCAATGTTATATAAGTT